GGAAAGAGTTGAAAGTGACACCAAGATTGAACCCAGGGATTTTGTGACTCTGAGGGGACAAATAATTGAACTGCTGGCAGAAGCAGTGAAGAGGTGGGGAAAGAAAGAATTTTAGATAAACAAACACTTTAGCTCATGTTAATGGGTATATGGTCTGTTGACTTCATTTAGGGCAGCTGAGGATATGGTCTGTTGAGTTCAGCTTTAATGATAAGTTTGAGTTGGCAGGGAGATCTCAGGATAAAATCTCAGGAAAATAGGCAGAGATGAAAGACTGAGGTTATAGATCATGAAATCTTGCAAGTGGCCCTGTATCTTGGTTCATTGAGTTCTGAAGGCAGCTTAGGGAAGATGAGTTCGCTATGCAAAAGCTGAACAGAAAAAAAATGAGAGAGTCTGAAAGAGAACAGGAAAAAGAGGGAAGAAAAAAGGCCAAAAAAAAGAGGGAATAGTACTTTGAAAAGCAAAGTATTTGAAAAAATCCTAATAGTGAGATTAACAATAAAAGGAAAGCATACAAATAAAGCAAGAGGAAAATGAAGAATGTTTTTTTCATTTAGTTTAACAGAAAACAGATAAGCATATTTATTCTCCGAGGCAAACATAATGTAATTTGGAAAATTATTGGAACATAATAAGAATTACTTCAAATCATCAGAATTTTCATGAATATTTTAGGATATATAGAGGTTGTAGTTTTCTGAGAACTGTGTAGTTTTGACTTGATAGTTCAAATGTTCCAGTGTCTTTTCTGCTTTGCTGTGTTTACTTAGAGGAAGCATATATGCTGAAAAGTTGTTAACAGGTTGACATTACATTTAAATGATTGCATTTAGGCAGTATGTAAAGAAGCTAAAAAGACTAAGAGCTTAGGAAAATAATGAAACAAACTTGCTAGGTAGTTTTCTTAGTATAAAAATATAGATGAGTAAGCAATTTTATGTGTGGTATATTTCTCATCTATTTTTCCCATGGGTTGTAATATGGCATAGTCTTCAGATTGGTTTTAATGTCTAAATAAATTCTTTAATTAAATTGAGCTCTTTTTTGTTTAAAGCTGTCTTTTGGGGAGATATTGCCTTAGATGATGAAGACTTAAAAATCTTTCAGATTGACAGGACGATTGACCTTACGCAGCACTCCAGCGAAAGACTTGGCCATAATACAGGTAATGATATTTCAAGCTTGTTTTAACTTATTTTTTCCTATTATTTACTTCTGCATAGAAGGCAATCTCTATTTTAAATGTAGAAAGTCAGAAAGTCAGTATAATATTTTGGGTGATATCAGTTTACACTTTAAAAAGTTATTAAGCAATAAGTAAAATTTTGTTTTAAGGAAAGAAAGAGAAAAACTAAAATTTTCATTTTATTCTGTCATTTCTGATTAAAATATCATGCTGAATTGAAGAGAACAAAAGCAGGTACCAAAAAAAGTCAATATACTTGAGAAAAGTGCGGAAAAATGTTAGTACAAAAAGTATAAATGCATAACTGAAATTAGTTTTCTATTAAGGGTGTTCTATATGTTCCTGAACTGAGCTACCATGAACTTGATTCCTAATATGTGGAAATAAGGGTGAATTTGAGAAATGATCAGGAAGAAATTTTTCAGACCAAAGAAGCAATTTTCAGTTTAACCCAATTTTCCATTTAATCTTTCAATACTGATGTATTTAAAATTTTTTTACTCTTCCTAGTTGTGTCGTGATTGGACTATTTTATAACAACTTGGAAATTTATTTTATCTCCTTTTAAAACTTTGTTTTTTCAAGGCAGAAACACTGATAGTTTCTAGCTCAAGAATGGATTTTAAAATGTTAAGAGTCAGTGGTTTCCCTGCCCCCCTTTCTGTCAACCAAATAGTTTTAATTGGCTTTGAAGGTATTTCAGGCACTGGTTTTGCTGACAAAAACTGTAGAGAGCAAGGTCGGTCATTTCCCCTTAAAGTGAATGCAGTCAAGTGATTTCTTTGGCCTGCTGACTTTCCTTTATCTTCTTGCTTTTCTATTTTTTTTTTTTTTATTGAACTGCACAGATATTGTTGTTTTGTTAATTGTCACAGAAAGAATAAGCTGTTTTTTAATAATATTTAATATTATATTATTTAATTATCTTTCCTTACCTGTCTCGAGATCTGTGCATTATCTTTTTCTATGGACTCAATATTCAAAATATTGAGTCATCCTATTGAGAATTACTAATTCACTTGGACAAATCTGATCTATCTTTGTTGCACAGAAGGAATCAATGCAACCATAGTGGTCAGTAGGACTGGACATTGGAGAACAAACTGTGATAAAGTTAATGATTTTATAATGGCTCTCAGAGAATGCTCAACACTCTTGATTTTTCTAAAAACAGTTGAGGAACTCAATTTTACATATTACATGTGTACTTTTCTAAATTTATGGCATTTTGATGCATAAACTAGGAGTTTAACCTAGTTTTGCAAACTGCACAGCCTAGTGTGCTTTTTCTCCCTCTAATTTTCAAGAGTAAATTGCTAACAACTAACTAGTTGATATTAGGTAGTAACTGGAAAAGGAACATAAAATGTCTGTAAAGAAGAGAACGAATTAGTATTTTACCACAGATGTTACAGATGCAATTATGTTAATTACAAGCTTGATTTCTGAGCACTTTCTGTTGTCACCTTTAGTTTGTGAAGGTTAACATCAGGTATGAGGGTTAGATACTTGGATGTAAACTGTCAAGATGGAGTTGCAACTCCATTGCAATTGGAGTTGCAATTTTTCATTGCAACTACTAAGAATCCTGAGGCTCACAGGCTCTGATTCATATTATCTGACGACTCTTTTAGTAAGGATTATCTGCCTGGCTTTGCAAGGTCAGATACTTAATCTGTGAGCTTCTCGAAGTGTGGCTTTGTAATATTTTTTTTTTTTTTTCTTTTTGTTTGTTTGTCATTTTGTCCAAGCAATGTGCATAATTATGGTACTGAGAAGCGACAGTAAATTAAATTGTTACATATATATTATTATGAGTCTAAACTGCCAAAAAAAATCCTTCTTTTCCTCACTGAAGTGTAAAAAGATGCAGCAAATAAGACTTTTTTTTTTTTTTTTTAAAAAGGCCTTTATTAGTCTGTGGCTTGGCAAGGCTATGTATTATCCATTTAAGACACATAAGTTATGTGAGACATTTTCTTCTTCAGTTTTTCAGTAAATGGAATACACAGGTTGTGTTAACACAGAAATGATAGTTTAATATTTTTTTTCCTATAAATAGTTATAGTATAATAGTTTCTTTAAGTAAATAGTAGATTCTTTGGTGTTTTTCTTTTTTTTTTTTTCCTGTTTATGTTTACAGCAGTTGGTGCTTTTAAGGATTTTTTAAGTATTTGTTTGGAATCTTTAGCTATATGACTTTTTGATACAATGAATGTTAACATGAGAGACAAATTAATGATAATCAATACAAGGAATGGAATTGTAACATATATTATAGTTGCTATGTAACTTGTTGGAAAGGAATGTGGTGAACTATTACCTCATCTATCTAAAATGTTTTTAAAAATTTGGAAAATTTTTCTCAAGGGACCCAGCAACTATGTGACAGTGTAATCCAAATAATTAGGCACATTATTATTCACTGAGCTGCCACACAAACTGACTTGCCTTATATGGAATTTTCTCATCTGTAATATGACTTTAAGTTGCTGTTTAATAAATATATTGTCCAGTTACATATTGAAAGCTTTAATGGGAATTTGGAAAAGGTTTTTTTAGAGGTGATTGGTGGTTTCAATGATCCTTTTATTTCTATGTTTTTATTTTTACTATTGTAAAAGTAGTTTGGAAATTCTCTTGTTCTTTAACAGGTATTGAATTTTTAACATACAGCCTACTACAAACTTCTAAAAATCACAAAACTTTCTTAATGATTCTTAAGGATTTATTGACTAATGCAATATTATCAGTGTTCTTTCTTCTGGTTTAGCAGTGTTTGCAAAGGCAGTTGCAGCCACAGTGGATTTATATATTAAGGTAGTAGGTGGCAGATGCATCAAATGTATGCAATAAACCCAGACATGCGTTACTTTTCTGTAAATGGCATGGTAAATGTTAAAGTCACCTACTTAATAGCTTAGTTTTTGTTCCCCATTGGTTGTCGAAATGACAGAGACATATATATGCCTGTGAGATCTTACTGCAATATACACCAGCATGTAATGTTTCAAAGCCTTTACAGTGTGTTGATATCTATTTGCATGCTGACAAAGAAAACCAAATCTTTTGTGGTAAAATCAGCAGTATTAAGTTTGTATCAGTTTTGTTGTGTTTTTTTCTGATGAAACTTTGGGTATTTGCTTTCCCTCTTTCTCATCCTTTGAAATGATTATGGCATGCATTCAGGAAATTTTTTGTGAGAGTAAGGCTTTTAGCTGTCAATCAACACGGTTCTGAGGATGTCAAGGTCACCAGGGGAAAAAAAAACCAAAAATCCCAAATAATAATTAGATGATGTAATTGTCATGGCTTGTCTGCATAACAAAGACATGTTAGTTTACCTTCTGAATGCATATTAGAAAATTTTTCAATGATAAGTGTATTTTTATTGTCAAGAACACTTAAAGAATTTGTGTGCAAGTCATTGAAGAACGCTAAACTTCTTTAAGATGCATTGTCACTTTTACAAAGTATTTTCTCATCTCTCTAGGTTATACCATTGCTGCAGATGTAAGATTCCATGGTTTTAACTTTTGTAAAATTCCTTTTTTTTTCTGTTCTTTTTAAAGGTGGCTTTGGAGAGCATGGACTATCAAAAAAACGGGGTGCCCTCTATCAACTTATAGACAGGATAAGAAGATTTGGCTCTGGTATTTTCACTGTTTAAATTAACAGGTTGCCTGATGTGATAATGGATCATAAACATTAGTGATGATAGTACTTCTAACACTTCAAGCATTTATCAGAAAACTAAGTAGTGATGGACTGTTGCATAATAGCAATGTCCTACGTTTAAAGGGGCATAGAGAAAGAATATGATTTTGACCTACTGAAAAATAATTGTTCTCTTTTTTTTTGTGTGTGATCTCATTCAGTGTTTTAATTATCATTACAGGCTTTGAGCAAAATAATACATTTAAAGGAAGAGCTAGTATAAAATTCTCAGGGAAAAATGAGAAAAATCGATTTCCCAGAGCTGCTACATCACGGACAGAAAGAATATGGCCAGGGGGTGTCATTCCATATGTAATAGGTGGAAATTTCACTGGTAAGCTTTGTGTTTTGGATGGGGGAAAGGAATATAAATTCCTTTTAAGATAAATTGCCTTATTTAATTATTTATTTAAAGCCAAACTATGGAAGTCAATAGAGGTGTTTATGTTGGATTGGACCTGAAGTAGATCTGTTCTGAAAGTATTAGTCCTAATGAAAAAAAACTGTTCCCAAAGGCAAGCTGCATAATAAAAAGCTATAATTATATTTTAGAAAGGGAAGGGTCTTTTTCTTTGCCTAGTATTTTGTTTTACGTGTTTGTTTTCAAGAGCCTAAGTAATGGAATGCCATGGAATCTTTCTTTTTGTGTGTGTGTGTGTGTTTTTTTTGTTTGTTTGGTTTTAAATGAAGAATATTTAACACAACAAAGTTAACAGGTGTAATATGTATTCTACTAAACTGTTTTCACTCAAACTGACTCAGCTGCATTTTGTAATTCCTCAATCTGGTTTTCAGATGGGTACACATAGGCATTATATATGACATGAAGAAAGAGTGACTTCAAAGTTTATAGAATTCTTAGCAGAAAATGGTAGAAAAAGTTTAAAACCTTTGTTACCCCTGAAAAAGTTAAATGGGTCTATATCAATGTGGATGTAGGAGGTAATTTAAAATAAAAAGAGAGTGAGGAAAGCAAAGATGGATGGGAAAAGATATCTAATAATACTTTATGAACTGTGCAGAATAATACAGAGAACCAACAGAAATATGCAAATGCTCACACATTGTGCTAATTTGTAAATGGAGAAATCAGAGTCATTCCTTACAAAATGACAGCTACAGTCAAACATTTAGTTTGCATACATACATAGTACTATACCAAATGTAACCTTTGCTTTAGCATTATCATCTTCAGAAATAATGGTAACAAAATAAATGAAAGTATATCAGCTTAAACATTTTACCTTTTTCATAATGAAAGATAAATTTTAATGCACGGAAAACATTGCTTATAAATTAAAGAAAAGAGCAGGATGGAATGAAATAACCTTCAATTTTAGGATCCGATGTGATCTGAACTTGCTATTTTTATGAACTTTGGGTGTTTGTTATTCTTTAAAAAAGATTTGTTTAGTGGTTTGTTGTGGTGTGGGTGTTTGTTAGTTTTTATTATTGTATATTGCAACATGCATCTTTTCAAAAATCTCTGAGGTGGATACATTTCTGCTAGCAAATTTGTGCCAAATAGTACAGTTCTTTCTGGATTTTCAGCTCTGAAGCAATACAGATTCAATATTCTCAGATGATGCCCTAAGTTAATAAGCCTTATCGTTTGTCAGGCAATGACATTACATTGCTAAACTATGTGAAGTATGCTGTACTAGCTGGCTTTGTGTTCTGTGTTGAGAGCTTATCTAGCTGCTCCTGCATCTAGAGTATAGTTTTGATTGTTTCTGAATGTGTTTCTCATTTTTAAAACAAAAATCTAGATATGCTTAGTATTGTATTCAAGTAAGCATTTCCCCCTTTTGGTGAATCACTTGGTTTCTGAAAGATTCTGATACAAAGAAGTGGAAACTGGTCCTTGTTCAAGACAGCATTATTAAAATTAAATGCCATGTTTGCATGGATTAGGTTAAATTGGTCTCCAGATTGGAAAGGTGTATGTTTGTTTGTTTGGATTTTTTTTCTCCTTCTGGCTAGATAGCTAGGATCCAGGGTTCCTCAATTTTTTTTTTTTTTTTTCGTTTCCTTCCTCCCCCGCAGTGTGGCCCAGTTGATAACTTCATCTGGGAAACAGCTTAGCAAATACGGTGCTAATGCAGGCATGTATGCAACACTATTTCTTCTGCTGTCTTCCTCTGATGTAACATAGCTGTGCTCTTATTGCAGGTTTTATGTTTGCTAGTGTGTCAGTATTGGTCCCCTTGCAGGCAGATAGGTTAAGATGAGCTGGTGGTCTGAGTATCCTGTTAATTGGAATCTGGCAGTACATGGGACTGCTGGGACACAGTACTTCATGATCCAGTGAATTCCCAAGCCTATATTGCTACTACTGTAATATGATTTTAAGGAACCAGACACGGTTAGAAAAGTCTCTTACTTCATTGCATGCCGTTATTCCAGGCACTCAGCGCGCCATGTTCAAACAGGCAATGCGGCACTGGGAGAAATACACGTGTGTGACATTTATTGAACGAAGTGATGAAGAAAGCTATATTGTATTTACATACAGACCATGTGGGTAAGTGTGTATGTATCTTTACAGATACTTGTGCTTTCCATGTTTTGCCACATTTGTAAGCTTTGCAGTGGTAAGCAAATATATACTTCACACAAAAATGAATAGATAGTTACCACATTTAGATGATAACACATTTACATGTGTTCTGCTTGGCTTTACATTCACTGAAAGCAGTATGTATGGTAACTTTTTGAAACTATGCCTCTTTTGTCTATTTCTAGATAAAACAATCTTGCTATATATACATAGATATGAGACATTTGTATTTGGCTTTCTGTCACGCTTTTAATATTTATATGTATTGTTCTAAAGGTATTTCATGCTTACTGTTTGTTTATTCTTAGCTTTCTTCATGTCACATGCTTGCTGCTGGATTATGTATGGACTTCTAGTCCGTATCCCTTTCCCAGCTGAGTTGTTGTTAAATGTAATTTTAACTCATCTATAGTTGGACTGTCTTTGCTCAGATTTATTTGTTTAACCACCAAATTCATGACAGTTTTTGTAAATTCCTTCTTCCAGGTCACTGATGAGTAAAAATGAAAAAAAACAGGTTTCATTGCTCATTTGTGCAGCTTTTCTTTATTCAGTATTTTCCATCTTTAGATATTTCTGCTCACAAATGCCTCAGTCAGCTGTATTTGTTATTTATTCCACTCAGAATTCCCTTTTTTTTTTTTTTTTTTTTTTTGGGTGTGTGTGGTGATCAGTGATCTTCCTGAGTGAAATGTGTTAATTTTGTAAGAGAAGCACTCACTACCACTACCTGTGGAAATAATTGTACTTCTAATAGCCACCTTCAGTTTGAGTTCAAGGATCCACCGTAAACAGTTCTCTGTCTTACTTCCCGATCAATGATCACTTTGCATGCCTGTGTTTGAATTTTTATGGGATAGGCTTGTGAAAAGAAGTTTTGGGATCTCCTTGCATTTTAGGAATGATCCTGAATGCACGTAATTATAGCCTATGAAATTACTCATAGACTCACCTGTTTAACTTACCCCTGTAATTCTTAAGGCATAGGACAGTGTAATAAAACCCACTCCTGGGCTACTTTAAGAAAGATATCACCTTTTCCTTGGAAAGCCGTGAAGCCACACATCCTTGCAATCAGGAAGCTTATTCTACGGCAGCACCTGTGAACTTGCCTGTTGTGTTCTTGTGCTCTTGCAGGTCTGCTGAAGACCATTGTTAGAAATAGTGCCAAATAAAGTGGACTTTTGTTCTGACCTGGCATGGCTATTACTTTAGTTAGTGGTGCGACCCCGAAGATGGCATTCAGGGATACTGACATACAGCTGGAACAGAAATGGGAAAGAGAATAGCCATGATGGTTCCCTGCATTCACAGAGGTAGAAAACAATGTGAATTTAAACAGAAGAGTGTGAAAGACAGAAGTGGTCTCAGGTGCTTTTGAAAGAGAAATATAGGGATATCTAAAGACATCTTGGTTTCATGAAAGTAAATTCTACAACTTCAAAGTGGTCAAAACCAGAAGACAGAAAATCTCTTTAGCCAAAGCACTCTTCCTTAGTCTGGTTAATGCTTCATGAGATCAAGTCACTTTAGGGTAAAGGCTGGATTATAATCAATTTGAACCAGAAGGTTGGAATATACTCAGTGTCTGCCTTTGAAGTCACTGTTATCTATTACAGTTGCTGTTGTTTTATTGGTGTGTACTTTACAAATTTCAGATAATTTACAAAGGCTATAACAAGTTTAAAATAAAAACAAGGAGGGCTGTGGCTATGAACAGTCCACTGGTGATGAAAAAAATCCAGGCTAAACAGAAGGGCCAAGTGAATAACTGTTTTTTTGAGTCCTGAGTCCATAAGCTATTTCAGGAAGTCAGATAAATAAGAATGTATCTTCTCTGGGTGAAAAGAAACCACTGTACACTAACCACTGACATAGAGTGCTGATGCAGGATTTTCCATGGGAAGAGCCCAGACGAAAGTGACACCAAACCATCTGCAAACACTTTCTGCTACATGGCCAGTCACACTGAAATTAATCTTGGTTCTTTCCCATAGCACCCTACTGTGTTGGTTTGTTAGCACATTGTGTCATTATTGTTTGCAGTGCCATGGCAGCTAGCATTCACATATGAAGAAGACTTTATTGTACTTAGCACTCTTCAAATTAAAAACTGAACGATAAACCCTGCCCCAAGGAGCACACAGTCAAAACACAACACATTTAATGAAACGGAAAGTGGTACAGTCATATATGTGGAAATTTAGGTGGCACTATCTACAAATGTCTCGGATGACAGCATTAGTACACTAGCAAGTGAAGTGTTATTGAGCTTTTATAAACATTAAGGATATTTTGAAGGAGTGTAATGCATTACTTCTTGCAGCAGTTCATGGGAAGCTCATCCCAGAAGGGCAGTGATGAAAAAAGCGTATTTGAAGTATAGCAGCTGGTTATCAGAGATACATGAACTTCCTAAAGTTGAGAGTTTGTGTATCAGCAGTGAATGAGAGGTAAGTTTTGATTATCATAGACCCAAGGGATCTCAGAAAGATATCTAATGTATTCTTAAGACAGAAACAGCTATACCTAAGTCATTGCTGATATATGCTTGTCTAACTTTTTTCCTAAAAATATGTAAAAATGAATAGTTCTCAGCCTGACAGCAAATATATTTCTTCAGTATCCTTAATAAAAGAAATGTAGGAAGTCCGGGGCAACATTTTTGGTCATAGCTAAATTGGATATTTCTTGCTACATTTAAAGTACATATACTTTTTTTCCTGCTCCCCATGGCCATACAAAATAATTTTTTCCTCTTTCTGTTTTTGAAGGAAACTGTTATATACTTTGATACTGTTAATATGTCAGCCCTCAGCTCTATTTTGTTTTAGGCTATAAGACGCCTAATTCATTTAGTTATTCCTGGTAAGTCACATTTTCTAGGCCTTTGATCACATTGTTCTTCTCTTTGAGATTCTTTTCAACTAGTTTACATCTTTATTGAAATTGAGGACTCAAAACTAGGGCGTGTTTGTCCAGATGTGTCATTGCTTCTGCTGAGCCAGTGCTTGAGCTAATTCTTGCATCTTGTAGTCTCTCCCTCCACTTAAGTAGGTAGCTAAGCACGGTGCCTCCTCGTTTTTTAACAGCTGCCATGTTTGACTTGTGATTGGTTGGAATATGACTCTGAATAAGAGCCAGATTTATTTACACAGCACTGATACACTGTCACTGGTTCCAGTGTTTTCCATGTTTTGGAATAATTCTGTTTCCTTTTTCAGGTCTCTTCTCTAACCTGTTAAAGTTGCTATCAGTTCCAGGCTCATTTTCATGGTATTTAGCAGTTGTTTCTCAGACTGAATGTTTAAAGAGCATCTTTTCTCTCTTCACTTAACATAATATTCCAGCCAGCTTTATATCCCCCATTATATGAGGGTTCTCTAGTTTGCTTATGGACAGTTTGTTTGGAAAAAATGTCAGATCCTTCCTTCCTGTCAGAATAACTTAATCTGTTGCAGTCTTAAATGATAATTATTTATCATTGTGTCTTGCTTATTTAACCTGATTTTGAGAACAGGTAGTTGTTGGAATATTTTTTCTTAGTATAGCTGAAACACTAACTTAGTAGTTTGAAATGCTCTAATTGTTGATAGTCATTTGTAACCATTAGCTGTAGATCTGAGAATTGGCATATAGTTTTAAGATAGTGCTCATTATTCTTCTACCAAAGCAGCGCATATTGGCATTAGTATCTGTTACAGCAAATATTTATGCAGCTAGTTGATTAGGGCAAGTAAAACTCTAATCTGTAAAGAGCTTCAAAACTCTCTTTGTTCGCTACTGCTTCTCTATCCTTATGTTTCTTGCTATCAGATAGGAAGTGCCTGAGGACACAGTCAGTATACCTCTCTGTAGGCAAAGCCAAAAAAGGGGTCGGCATGAGATGGCCTCTAGTCACATGCTCTTAATAAATATTACTGAGTACGAAATCAAGCTTCTTTTTATTTAGTGAGACAGAAAAAGAACTATTAATCATATTGTTCTGGCATCTCAACATGCCTTTGATCTGACTTTGTGGCAATTTTTGTTCTCCACTAGAAGACTTAAGTACTTTTTATGTCAAACTTTGAATTATTACAACTACTACTATATCCTCTTGTGTGGGTATTTTACAAATCTGTCTGAGATACAGAGAAAATAAAATTTCTTTCATCTGCTTCCCCAAACATTGTAGACTGAGCAGCTTTTGAATGCTTTACTATTTTTTGAACTTACTCGTATATTAAATAGTCATTACAGGCAAATTCTTAAGGTTGGTGAAACAGGTAATTTAATTGCCCAAGGTACACTTTTTCATCATTCTTTAGTTTTAACAAGGGTTAAATGTTACAAAAGGTTCTGAATCATATCTATGGAAAGGGAAGAAATTGCGAGCTGTGCTAAATAAGCGGTAGCATTAGGGCTGGCTCATGCTCTCCGGGTGGTAATTAACTGTGCCAGCTGGCACTTTTCCTGCCCACAGGAGCTGACATGGCTTCTCTGCTGCTTTTTGGGGTGTGGCTTGCAGGATAGGTGTGACCTAGGTGCATGTGACCAGTTGCCATAGTCTAAAACACAAACTGAATGAGGGGTGATTTATGTTAATACACTGTCATCGGCAGCTGTTGACTGAGGAATGGACTCAGTTGACTGTATTTTATAATCTAGGGGTAGTTGTCTCCATTGGGCAGGTGAAGAAGCAGAAACCACTTCTGCCATCGCCACAGGTCCTCTTAGGGTGGTAAATTGGAACATTTAGTAACCATGGTAATACAGATCCCTGATAATAAGCAAATTTATGAGCCAGGTCATAGCCAATATCTCCTTTGTATAAAATGAGTTATTTTTGTGATCGAGAGAGGTGTTTTTTCATCAAGAATAAAACTTTGTTTATTCAGTGAGATTTTGTTCATGAATTTTGTGACCTTTTTTCTCTTGCTTTGTGTAACACATAGGTGATGATATGCAGTTCTAGTATGCTT